AAAGAAAGAAAGAAAGAAAGAAAGAAAGAAAGAAAGAAAGAAAGAAAGAAAGAAAGAAAGAAAGAAAGAAAGAAAGAAAGAAAGAAAGAAAGAAAGAAGGAAGGAAGGAAGGAAGGAAGGAAGGAAGGTCAGTGGGATCTATCAGATGAACCAGTGAGATCATGGATTCATTGAAGTATCCAAGGTATCAAATTACTATTATTATTGTTGAGTTATAATTAATAATAATCCTTAATTCTATTACAGTTACATCATATATATTATATATTATAGTTAATTCTATTACAGTTTTCTAAGGCTATTAAGGTTTACCAAAGCACTTTCTTCCTGTCTCCCCAGGTAGGTAGACATGCATTTTCACCACTAGGTGGTACAATGGGTAAGAGGTCTACAGTCAGGGAGTTGAGGGGTTCAAATCCTGCCTCAGACACTTAACTAGCTGTATGAGTGACCCTGAGGAAATCACCCAGCCTCTCTGTGACTCTGATGAGCTATGAAATGAGGAGACTGGATTTGATGGTCTCCAGCCTCCTTTCCATCTCTAATCCATGACCTCATGGAGCTAGGGCTCAGAGAGAAGGTATTAGACCAGAGTTGCAAGGTGAAGAAGAGCAGAGACAGAATTTGAACCCAGGTCCCAGATTCAGAGAGGCCCTTCCCAGTCAAGGCTCCCATAGAGGAGACTCCTATCAGCCCCAACTACCATGGAGTTTCTTTAAGATGTATTCCACATCTCCTCCATTCTACTAGAGACTACCAAAGCGGGGAGAACTGTGTCCTTCCCCTGCGTCTGGCTGGGGGCTCCCTGAAAATGACTCATCTAGTCCAGACTCCTCATTTTACAGGTAGAGAGAGACAGAGGCTTGGCTAAGGGAAAGTCTGAGGTCACACAGCTAGAAAAAAAAAGGTGTCAAGATTTGACCCCAGGTACTCAGATTCCAAGCCCCAAGCTCTTCCAGACACACCACACTGCCCATAAAATACTCCAACCCTAATTCCCAGGCCTGAAACTTAGGTGGGAAGGAGTGCTGGGCAATGGGGAGGGGAGGGCATGGGGGGGAGGCCTGAAGTTCAAGGCTGGATGAGTGGCCCTCTCTCTGTGTGTCTGATCACCCTTTTTCCTCCCCCTATACCCCCACCCACTCCCACCTCATTCCACCCAAGACTAAGTCGCCCAGAGGAGACAGAGGAGGCAGAAAAAGAAAGACGGCTTCAGTCAGCACCTCCATCCTCGGCAGCAGCATCCCCAGCCTCCCTCTGGCCCTCGGTCCAGGAAAAAGGGCAGGATAGGCCAGGCCTTTGGAATCCCCCTGTTCTCCTGGTGCTTACAACCTAGTTTTAGAGCTAACTCTGGCCAAGCCAGGTAGGATTTTAAAAATACAGTTGATATCAGTTATCTGCACAGTGGATCATCCATGGTTTTTCTTCTGCGTCGAAGTCACAAAATGGATGAGTGGTCATCCAGTGGTATAGACAACAGGCAGCCAAGGCTGGATCTTCCCTCCCATTCTCTCCCTGAGCTCAATAAGAAGTCTTTTAGACACTTTGCTTCCCTCAACCCCCAGCCCAAGGGAAAGTGTGAGTCAGTTTGATTGGGGGTCAGTGATCTCTCACATTGGCAGAGCACTCATCAGTTTAGCCAAGTTCTTTCTAACCAACCACAAAGATTTGACAGGACTTTATAGTTTGCAAAACTTTCAAGAAAACCACTAAGCTTTGACATTTCCCAACACTGGAGTCATCTTCCTGTGCCTTATTGTGGGGAGAGTAGGTGAGCCCGAATTACCAAGAATGGAAATTTTCCAAGGATGGGCTCAGAGATGGCCTGTATGTCTAGTTTTCATGGACCCACCTGAAGTCCATAAGAACTCATTGCCCAGTCAGCCTCAGAAAGATGAGTTTTTTTGACTGTTACAACTTTTACTAACTTGCTGAAGGGTTGCAATCTGCCTCAGAGGAAGACATTCTCACATCAGTCAAATTACTAGATCCTAGAAGTTTAGAAGTGTGTATAGTTTTACAAGGTTTTTAAGACAGCTGTACAAAGTTGTGCCTTCACATAAACACTTTAGTCTTCCAAAGTTGGTTTTGTTTGGGGTGTTTTATTTTTCGGATTGGTTTTATGATTTCATCCATGTGGAATGAGCCTCCAGTGTGGAATTTTCTCCACCAAGGTGAGTTCCCTGGGGGCCCCCGAGAGGAGAAGATCCCCCATCAGACTTGCCCAGGCCACCTACCTTTCAAAGTCGTAGGAGGTGACAGCATTTTGAAGCTTCACAAAACCCTTGAGGACTTTGTAAAGACTTTCCTTCCTTAAAATTCACCACACCAGGTGTGTTACAAACTGCCTTCACGTTCAAGGGTCCTGAATTATCAGAGCTGGAAGGAACCTGACATACCATCTGGCCCAAATCCCTCATCTCACAGATATGGAACCTGAGTCTCCATCTGGCCTCAGAGAGGGAAAGGGACTTGCCTAAG